TACCCATTTCAAAAACATGGTATCCATTGTTACACAAGAATGATCTGGGGCTGTGTCTACCGCAGGAATCGAACCCCGAAATTTAGGGTTATAAGCACTAAAGCTTTTCGCAGAGGCACTGGAAGATGTGGGTGGGTGGGTGTATATTAATGTTAGTTTTAGTAGCAGTTCCTAAATTTCTTTCCTTCTGTATTGTTTAAACTGAACGATGAAATACACAGTGAAGTGATTGGAAGTGATTATTTTGTTTGTTCGTTTGAAGTTATGCACAAATCTACACAATGGGCTATCTGTGCTCTGCCCACCCGGAAACCCGGTTTCTAGCGTTGTAAGTCCGCAGACATACCACTGTGCCACTGGGGGGCAGTGATTATTTCTCTCCAATAAAAAAAACCGGCACTAGACTCGCAACCTGCGGATTGCGGACTCGAATCCCGTTATTATTGAACTTGCTCATCTTGGGCGCGTTATGATGTAACGTTGATAAAAGAGTGACCCAAAAGTTGGCGGTGGGTAGCGTTTCCTCTAGTCTATCACTTCCCGATAGCGCTTGAGAAGCTTCACACGAAATTCAACAAACAAACCGAGAAAACAATAAAAATGCTAATTTAAAAATTGTGACCGATAAAGCGCGTAACAAAATATAACATGTTAATATAAGGTGTTAATAATTTGAAAAAAACAAACTTATATTAACGATCTACGCGCTAGAATTTTGTAACATGCCCCAACACTCTTCGTGCGCAGTTTGAAAATTCGTCTTTAAAAAAACAATACAAAATCAACGACAATTATGAAGGCAAAGTTCTCGCAACAATTTGACCCAGCGCCATCTATCGCTAATAAGTGTATTTAGTCTTAACTTTTATTACATTTTTCATCTATATATGTGTATCTAAGATTAAATAAGTATTTTTCAAATAACATTAAACACAACAACACTTATTTAAGATTATCATGTTTTCCCCTAGTTTTTCAGTTTTTTTTCAGAATTTTCGCGCAAAGTTACATAAGGGCTATTCACGCGTAGCCATCTTCAAATTTGAACTGGTAGACTGGAGGGATAATATAACATCCATCACCAATTCTTTGGCTACTCTTGTCTTTCTAAACGTCCCTTTTATATCGCACCCACGAAGCCCAAAGTGCGGAACACGTTTTTTGGGATAACGATTCGCGGCAAACTATTAATTTTCATATTCGCAGTCAGGGCAAGCTAACCAGTAAGCAACACCCGATCTACTTGTTTTGCAAGATTGGCTCGTGAGGTTAAAGAACTGTTTCTTGTTTTTTTTTTTACTTCGTACTCATACGATACACGACTTCAGGTTGTTGAGGAACAACTACGTAATACATCATATTTGATCTGCCGTTAAGCGTCTATTTCCTGGCCTGTAAGGAGTGGTTATTTATGATACCGTGTTTTATTATCATTTTCAGGAAGTAGTGAGACAGACTATAATGATAGTCATTTAATAGAAACTGGGGGTACAAATAACAGTGATCATTAAGTTAGAATACGTGTGCTGGGAAGGTTGTGTAATGTGTCATTGTGGAAATTAATGTGATGGCAACGATCTGTTTAAACAACTAAAACTTATTGGGATGTTAGAGCTCCTGAACCCAGCAACATGTCAAATTCTTCTGGTCATAAGTGACGCCCTACTGATAATACTATAGGTCATGTTCTACTGATCGTACTGTAGGTCACGTCCTACTGATCACACTATAGATCACATCCTACTTATCATACTATAGGTCATGTTCTACTGATCGTACTGTAGGTCACGTCCTACTGATCACACTATAGATCACATCCTACTTATCATACTATAGGTCATGTTCTACTGATCGTACTATAGGTCATCTTCTACTGATCATATTATAGGTCACATCCTACTGATCATATTATAGGTCATGTTCTACTGATCACACTGTAGGTCACGTCCTACTGATCATACTATAGATCACATCCTACTGATTACACTGTAGATCACATTCTAGTGAATATATTATAAAAAATATCTGTACTGATCATACTATAGGTCATGTTCTACTGATCATACTATAGGTCACATCCTACTGATCATACTATAGGTCATGTTCTACTGATCGTACTGTAGGTCACGTCCTACTGATCATACTATAGATCACATCCTACTTATCATACTATAGGTCATGTTCTACTGATCGTACTGTAGGTCACATCCTACTGATCATACTATAGATCACATCCTACTTATCATACTATAGGCCATGTTCTACTGATCATACTATAGGTCATCTTCTACTGATCATATTATAGGTCACATCCTACTGATCATATTATAGGTCATGTTCTACTGATCATACTATAGGTCATGTTCTACTGATAATACTATAGATCACATCCTACTGATCATACTATAGGTCACATCCTACTGATCATACTATAGGTCATGTCCTACTGATCATACTATAGGTCACATCCTACTGATCATACTATAGGTCATGTTCTACTGATAATACCATAGGTCACATCCTACTGATCATATTATAGGTCATGTTCTACTCATCATACTATAGGTCACATCCTACTGATCATACTATTTTTATAATGTGGTGTTGAAAATCATTGAACAAAATTGTACCTCATCCTATATGTGATGAAAACCTCGTATTCTGATACTGTTATGTTAAAACATAAAACAAAACAGTATCGTCATGTGTTTATCTATTTAAGAAAGAAAAGGAAAATCTTAACCCGAGTCCTTGTTATAATGTGTACGACAGGCTTGTTTTAAAATGTTGAAAACAAAGAAACCGTCAAAAGTCATTAGAATTTTTTTCTAATACTACTACCACCTTACTACAGCCAGGGGGAGGTGCCACACCCCTTGTTCTCCTGTTCTTTCGTCGTTTTATTATTTTGTGCGTGTAGTAAACACGAATGACCTGCACAATGGTAAAGTTCAACTGGTTGTAGAAACAATGAAATACTGTATACATTCTGTTTCCTGATATTTGTTTTCACCTAAATCTAGTTACAATTTATCAAGTCTTGTCCATCTTGACCTTGAAATATAAAGTTAGTGAGATGTTGAAAGTTCAGAAATCTGCCTGATAATGGTGGGTTGTGAAAATAAATCATTATTTATCGTAAAAACAAGTTACGTCATTTGTCACGAGCAACTAGAATTAGGCTAAAATATTTGTAACTATAGTTTTTAAGCACACATCACTTTTATTTTTTGACTAGCTTTGTTATTTAATTTTCTATAGTTTCGGGCAATGGAGAAGAGGAAGACGATCGGTTTTCAGCTTGTTATTTGCTCCACATTTTGGTGCCTCGTCAGTTCTAGAGGTTTGTATGAGTCATGACATTGTATAACTAATCCAAGGCACACTCTTGCCTACCTATGGGACCGAGCATAGATATATATACTTACTACAAACTGTATATATGTGATGAAACTGATCTAGGATAGCACAAAACTATATTATTATTAAAAGTTTCGATTGAGATAGAATATTAAAAACTGTATTGTTCTTAAAATTTGCGTTAAATTTAAAATATCACAAAACAATATTCCAAAAATACAGTTTTGTTATATTCTAGATTAATCAGAACTTTTGTTAATAACATGGTTTTTAATATTTTAGATTATTCACAAATATTGACAAGAATATTGTTTTGTAATATTTTAAATTAATAGCAAATTTTATAAACAATACAGTTTTTAATATTCTAGAGTAATTGTTTGTAATTAAGCACAAAGCTACACAACGGGCTCTCTGTGCTCTGCCCACCACGGTATCGAAACCCGGATTCTAGCGTTGTAAGTCCGCAGACATACCGCTGTGCCACTGGGGGGCTTCTAGATTAATCAGAACTTTTGTCAACAATATAGTTTTGTAACAATCTAGATTATTCACAACTATTGACAATAAAAGTTTGTGATTAATTTAGAATATTGCTAAATTATTTTCTTAACATACATTACGATTAATCTAAACTATTAAAAACTATATTATTAACAAAATTTGTGACTAACCTAGAATATTGAAAACTAACATTTACGTCCTTGTCAAAATTTGTGACTAACCTAGAATATTGAACACTAACATTTACGTCCTTGTCAAAATTTGTGACTAACCTAGAATATTGAAAACTAACATTTACGTTCTTGTCAAAATTTGTGATTAACCTAGAATATTGAAAACTAACATTTACGTCCTTGTCAAAATTTGTGATTAATCTAGAATATTGAACACTAACATTTACGTCCTTGTCAAAATTTGTGATTAATCTAGAATATTGAACACTAACATTTACGTCCTTGTCAAAATTTGTTATTAATCTAGAATATTGAAAACTAACATTTACGTCCTTGTCAAAATTTGTGATTAATCTAGAATGTCACAAAACTAATAAGAATTTACTCCTGCTTGAGGTTATCAGTATTTTGGAATATCGCATAGCAGCTAAAAGTCAGTGTTGGTTTGTAAGCTTCATACTCACGTTTCGGTTAAATATTCTCTGATTTTTTATAAATAACTCAATCGTTTCTGCCTGGTCTTAGTATCCTTTTTCTAATAACAATAAAGTCGTCATTTTCAAAAATTACACAGCTCCGTCACATCTCAATATTTAATCATTCGTGCATAAGTTCGCAATCTTTTCTCTCTAGCTTTGCTTTTTACTAACATAAGTCTTAACAGCATTTATACACGCATATGTCTAACTTATGTATTCTTAATTCTTTATTTTCAGTAGTATTTTATGATACATTTATACAGATACAATTGGATACATCAATACAAAAGTAGTAATATGTGGAGTACTTTTTACAATAAAAAATTAATATAATTAACAAATATATATTAGTTACGATATTGAAAATAAATTACTTTTATCCTAATGTAGATAACTGAGATAAATTTGAATCATTAATAGATCGGTTTGAATTAAAATCGATTTTTATGCTACAAAAGTGAAACATTGATTTTATTATTTGTAGTTCGACCTGTGGAGCTGGATTCTCGTTTGAAGTATAACACGCAGTTTTTTTGTTCAAAAAGTGGATTTTTTCGCGATCCGTTAAATTGTAACAAGTTTTATCGTTGTGTGGACTTTAACGGAGATGGCTTACGATTTGCGGTGTTTAAGTTTGACTGTCCAAAGGGGCTTGTTTTTGATGAAGAGGAAAAACTATGCAATTGGCCATCTGCTGCTCCGCCCTGTCAAGATGTGAGAATACAGGACGAATATCCAATTGAAGAAGACACTTCTGATGAAAGAAACGCTAAACCACAACCAATTCCAGTACCTGACGGTGGCGACTCACCTGTAAGCGATAGTGATCCCACGCAAGAGGGCGCTTCATCTCCTAGTGACAGTGATCCAATACAAGATGGCGACTCACCTGTAAGCGATAGTGATCCCACGCAAGAGGGCGCTTCATCTCCAAGTGGCAGTGATCCAATACAAGGTGGCGATCCATCTATAAGTGGCGGTGATTCCACGCAAGAGGGCACCTCAACTGGTGACGATGGCGACACAATACAAGACGGCCTCTCATCTCCAGATGGTGGAAATTCCACTAAAGATGCTATTAATATTGTTTGTTTTAAAACAGGTTATTTTCGACACCCTACAAATTGCAGTAAGTTTTATAGGTGCGTCAATACTTCCCTGGAAGAAACATCTTACTATATTTATATATTTGAGTGTCCCAAAGATCTGTGGTTTGATGAGACTATTGAGTCTTGTAATTGGAAATCATCTTCTCCTTCCTGTAACAGTGAAGCCTCTTCAGAGAGTCAGCAAAATGGGGATTCAATTCTAGATTCAACAGTTCCTGAAAAACCTGAAGCAGGGGCAGCCTCTTACAGTTACATCCTCAAACATGCTGATAAAAATAACGAGCATAGTGGAATAATCCTGTCACCCAAAAGTCCAGATGTGTCAGAACTAGTCTGTACACATGAAGGTTTCTTTCGCCATCCCACAGATTGTGGAAAATTTTATGGATGTGCAGATTTAACAGGTTCAAATATGACTTTTAATGTATTTCAGTACGATTGTCCTGATGGTTTCGTTTTTGACCAAACTACATGCTTCTGTAAACTACCACAATTTGCACCACCCTGTACAAGCAGTGCATCTGAAAACGCTACAATTACAGACGAATCTCAACCGTTTCCACCTTCTGAGCAAGGTAATTTATCTCAACCCAAAGAAGACTTAATAAACAATGCAAGACAACCGGTTATTTCCGTAACCCTCAGAACTGTCATAAATTCTATAGATGTGTTGATCAATCCGGAACAGGCTCTAGGTTTGTAATATACCAGTTTGAATGTGTAGATGAACTTGTATTTGACGAAACTATTAAGTCTTGTAACTGGCCACATAAAGCACCACCTTGTAATGACCCCTCTTCTTCCAAAATATCTCCAGATTCATCAGGACAAAAAATTCCTGTTTCAGAAGGTGAGAAACAACCACAAGGTCCAGGACAAAGAAATCAAACAAGCATTAATGAATCATCAAAAGATCAGGATTCAAGCAAAAAAGATAATATTGAAGCTACTGATAGAAATGATATCAGTGGCGATTATGGTCATTCAACTGAAGACAAAAGTGGACAAAAGGAATCAGGACAGTCGGAAAATGGCTCTACTGTTCCAGTAGAATCTAATAAGATCTCTGATTCTGAGACTTCTGGTCCAGATGGTGTCACATCATCTTCACAAGAAATTAATAATAATCAACTAGTCTGCTCAAAACCTGGAGTTTTCCGTCATCCAGAAAATTGCAGCAAATTTTACATGTGTCATAATTTGACTGATGCTGAAGAGCCTTTTGCCATTTATATATTTGACTGTCCTAATGATCTTGTCTTTGATGAAAATATCAACAGTTGTAACGATCCAAATCAGACTCTCCCATGTAATAATGAGTCAGGTGTCTCAACTGCTGAAGATGTAACTGATTCTACAAGTTCTTATGAAACTACACCATCAGCAGATCAAGTAACATCTGGTGTGGGAAATTCATCACAAACAATAACTGACTCGCAACCTGGAGCTACCGATGCTCAACAAGGAGAGATGGACACAAAACCTGGAGCAGAAGAATCCCTACAAGAAGAAACAGATTCACAGTCTGAAGGAGAAGAGTCCCCATCACAAAAAGAAGATTCAGTGCAGAATAAAGAAGATGAGCATTTAGCTGGAGAATCTGTAGGCTCTGAACAAACATCAGAGATTACCACTCAAGCCTCAAAATGTAAAGAAGTGGGTTTTTTTCGGAATCCCAATAATTGCAATCGATTTTATAGATGTGTAAAACAAGGTGCAAGATTGATAAAATATGATTTTAATTGTCCAGATCGCCTTGTTTTTGATGAAATTCACAGTGTCTGTACTTGGGCTAGTCAAACTTCCCCTTGTTCTTCACCTAGAAATGAATCGCTTTCAGGAGGATCTACATCAGAAAGTGGATCACCTACAGGAGATGCTTCAACTGAAGATGGATCATCTACAGGAGATGCTTCAACGGAAGGTGGATCATCTATAGAAGGTGCTTCAACAGAAAGTGAATCATCGACAGAAGGCCCTTCAACAGAAAGTGGATCACCTACAGGAGATGCTTCAACTGAAGATGGATCATCTACAGGGGATGCTTCAACTGAAAATGGATCATCTACAGGAGATCCTTCAACAGAAAATGGATCATCTACAGAAGGTGCTTCAGCAGAAAGTGGCACACTCTTAGGAGGAGATACTTCATCTGGAGGCACTACAGTTGAAAGTGAGGACGAGACCTTAGGTTCAACAACTACTTTATCATCTTCAGGTCCTCCTGAAGAAAACACAGAATCATCTTTGCCAGAGACTGGTGGTACTCCTTCTCGAGAAGGTAATGCCCTTTGTCCGAAAGCAGGATTTTTCCGAAATCCTCGTGATTGTCATAAATTTTATAGATGCGTAGACTTTGAGGGAAACAGTGAAAGTTTCGTTATATTTGAGTTCAATTGTCCAGATGGCCTTGTGTTTGATGAAAGTATTAGTGTTTGTAATTGGCCAGATCAGGCTCCTCCCTGCGGTGTCTGCCCTCCCGTCGATGGTGCAGAAAATAGTACTAATGGCACACTGACCGAAGAAACAACATTACCTATGAGTACAACAACAGAAAATAGTACTAATGGCACACTGACCGAAGAAACAACATTACCTATGAGTACAACAACAGAAAATAGTACTAATGGCACACTGACCGAAGAAACAACATTACCTATGAGCACAACAACAGAATTAACCCAAACTACAACCAGAAATACCATAACCGTGGATGTTGGAAGTTTATACGACTGTCAAGTTTCAGGTAATTTCCCATTTGAATCTGATTGTATAAGGTTCTACAGGTGCGTAGAAAGAGAATCTGGACTCATCGGTTTACTTTATCGTTGTCCAGATGGTTACATTTACGATGAGAAAGTAGCGCTTTGTCGAAGAAAACCTACATCTTTTATTTGCGGTAAAGATTCTCCCAATTCACTTATTTTCCGTGCTGACCCATTCATTTTAGATAATGCCATCCTTGCTACTTCTGAGTTTTTACTTGACTAAAAAGTAATAAATGCAGAAAATTAAATTCTACACGGAAAACAAGACATTGGTAGTAGCAATGGGATTAAAGTTTAAATAACTAGCTTTTTTTTTGGAACAGTGGTGTTACTTTAAGGTGGTATGCAAATAGTGTTTTACTCTTTTTTTATGGGTTTTGTTCTTATGCACTTGTTTCTTGTATCTTTGGGATTATAATGTTAAAACTTTCAATGCCAAAAAGTAACGCGTGACAACATTTCTTGTATTTATGTGTATTTTTTTCAAAAACTTTTAATGTTTTTATTAATTACTGTGTTTCCGTCATTTTAAGGTTGGGTTGTTGTTTATCTGTATTTTGGAGATTTTATTAAAAAATGTCCTAAAAACTATTGTTTTAGTGAATAATGCTCTTTAGTTGATAATTATTATTCAATTCAAAAGTATTTTAATGTGAACTTAAATAGTCCCATAAATTATTTTTTGTAAACACTGGCATTTTCTCCCCATTCACTAAAAACCAATTAACAAGTATTTAACAAATAAATAAACAAACAAGTTCACTGTAAGCGGTATTTGGTTAGTTCAAACATGTCTCACAGTGGCTCAGTACGACTCAACATGTCTGAGAGTTTATAACGCTAAAAATCTGGTTTAGATACCCGCGGTGGGCAGAGCAAAGATAGCTCATTGTGATGTTTTGTGCTTCACAAACCATCTCTTACTTCTTGGTTTTCTTTTATTTTTCTGTAAATTTCTTTTTGATCATATTTTAATTTTCTGTCTGTTCCTTTATGATATTTTTCTATGCTTTGTCTCTTTCTCTTTATTCTTCTTTCCACTACTTCATCATATCCAGCACATTTTTTATCTCACTTTGTGCTTATACTGTCATAATAAAAGTTAAAGTTTAATCAAAGTTCTATTATATTTCCCCCAAATAATCCCACTCCTGACGCCAGTTTGTAACGTGTTCTATCATTGGGTTGTTGTTTTTTTATATTTATTTGATAAAAATAATGCGAACAAATTAATTAATTTTTCTAATAGCATTTGCTACAGGTTAGGTTCACTAATAGGCCCAACTTCATAAACAACGTTTTAACAGAAATTTTAAAACTAATGTATGCCTAACTCACAAATAAACTTACGTTCAGAGTTTCTTTGCTAATCTATCAAGAACAAATACGCTAGTTGACTAACTTACTAACTAATTACAGACGAATAGACTAAATAATTCTCATTGTCTTATTTACAAACTGACACTGAATCGAATAATTGTATTAATTGAGCTTATTCACTCAGTCACTTTTTTATCACTTAATATCTACTTAATACAGGAAGCATCTAGATGTTGCGTCATCATGACGTAATGACAAGCCTATCTAGCAAACAAACACCTAAATTAAAATATTACAAGTGTAGCTTACAACAATATGTTGAGACAAATATAAACTTTATCGATTTATAACATCAATGGGAGAAAGATTTGTGTATAACTGACATACAACGATCAAAATGACAACTAGTTAAAAAGAGTTTCTAATATTTTAGATAACTTACAAATGATTAACTCAGAAGTTAAATATATTTATTCAAAAAACACATCTTGTTGTTATTTACCCCAATCAATCCTTTAAAGAAATTGAACAAAATTTCATGCGGAGAACAAAATATTTAGATGTAATCTTTGTGCTTATAATTTACTCTTTAAAAGTTTCAAATTCCCCCATGATTATTGTCGAGCTTGTCAAAAATGCAACAGAGGTTTAAAAAAAAATGTTTTTAAACACGAATCATTTTACATTATACTATGTAGATTTTAGGATGTTAATCTGTATGAGTAAATAATCCACACCAAATGTTGGATACTTTTGTTTTAGTCAAGTCTCAGTGTGTCTGTATATACTGTAACCCCGCAAGTGCTAAGTAAATTTAATGAGATAAGTACCTTTTCAAACAGCTGTTTAACATATTTTGGGAACACAAAATATGAGAGGGTGCTTTTCCAAACGTAAACTTTGTAACTAATAAATTCTGAAGAGGCCTGGCATGTTGCGTGTTCGAATCCCTATCACCGAACATGTTCGCCCTATCAGGCGTAAGGGCGTCATAGTGTAACAGTCAATCCCACAATTTATTGTAAAAGAGTATCCCAAGAGTTGGCGGTGGATGGTGTTTTCCCTTTAGTCTATCACTGCGAAATTAGGGACGGCTAGCGCAGATAGCCCTCGAGTAGCATTGCGTAAGATTCAAAACAAATCACACCAAGTTCTGAAGATGCTCGAAATATTTTTGAAACACACAAAGCAAGAAGGGCTTGGCAATGGCCAGGTGGTTAGGGTGCTCGACTCATTTGTTTTTTGCTTGTTTTTTTTTTGTGTTACTTTACTCCTGGAGACTGTTGGCTTCCAGGTTTTGTAGCAATGCTGTGGCTGCTACAGTAGCAGGTACATCGCTGTTTCTATAGTTCATTAGCTGTTGAAAGTTATTTTGCCAAAGATTAGAACTTAAATGAAACCCATCACATCATATATTTTCATATCGCAGTTAAAACTACTTTGCTTAATGTTCCATTGTAACAACATTGTTAAAAGTTATTTCATATCAGAATATAATTAACCATTGCTTCCTGAGACGGAGCAACATTGTTCAAGTACTGTTATTCTAATACCATGATCGTAATATTTCAAATTGTTTTGTGTTACAAGACGCTAATAAATATCTATCAACAAATAAAAGTTAGAGAAAGGAAATTTAAGCTATTGTAGTGGCGCCATCTAGAACCCACAAGTTAAAATCACTGAAAATATTTTTTTGTTTGGTTTTGATGTATAGTCCTTTACTCACTAATAATAATTTAAAACACCTTAGGTATTTGAATATTTGACCGCTAGGTGAATTTCAGTGAAGAAATTTACAAATACAAAAATTAGCTTTTATTAATTTGACTGATCTCTGATTCAGCTCGCCCGGCACGGTCAGGTGATTAGGGCGCTTGACTCGCAATCTGAGAGGCGCGGGTTCGAATACAGGCAAACATGCTCGCCCTTTCAGCCATGGGGGCGTTATAATGTGACGGTGAATCCCACTATCCATTAGTAACAGAGTAGTACAAGAGTTGGCGATGGATGTTGACAACTAGCTGCCTTCCCTCTAGTCTTTCACTGCTAAATTAGGGACGGCTAACGCAGATAGACCTCGCGTAGCTTTTTCGATGACGAGGAACCCACTTTGAGACTAATAATGGCTGGAGACGGCTTGAATGGGTAATGAAGAAAAACT